GGTATGGCTGGCTGCGGGCATGGCTGCACTGGCCGTGCTGACTGCGGTTGGGCAGTCCTTGGCACGGGTGTGCGCGCTGGCGCGTGCTGGCGTGCCACTGCGCATCACTGGCACGTCCGGCGGGCATCTGGGCGCGACTGCGGGCTGACTGAGGCGTGTGCATGCGCTGGCGCAACGCAGACATTGGACTGGGCGCTGCCCCGCGCTATATGCGCGGGCGCAAGCACAACTGACCTCATGAACCGTATCTTTCATCCATACCTCGATCAATTCGTTATTGTCTTTATTGACGATATCCTTATCTACTCGAAGAGTCAGAAGGAGCATGAGGAGCATCTGAGGGTAGTTCTCGAAACCCTCAGACGAGAGAAGTTGTACGCCAAATTCTCCAAATGCGAGTTCTGGCTTCAGCGAGTATCTTTTCTGGGTCATGTTATTACCCAGGCAGGCATCGAGGTGGATCCTTCTAAAGTTTCAGCCGTGCAGAACTGGTCGACACCAAGGAGTCCGTCCGAGGTTCGCAGTTTTCTCGGATTAGCTGGTTACTATCGCAGGTTTATTGAGGGCTTCTCTAAGATTGCCCTCCCTCTTTCCCAGCTGACGAGGAAGTCTGTGAAGTTCGAATGGACTGACAGATGTGAGGCGAGCTTTCAGGAGCTCAAGAGGAGATTGACTACAGCACCGGTGGTTACTATCCCCGATCCTTCTCGGAGTTTCACTATCTTCAGCGATGCTTCGAGACAGGGCTTGGGATGTGTCCTTATGCAGGACGAACAGGTCGTTGCGTATGCTTCACGTCAGCTTAAGCCTCATGAGCAGAACTATCCTACGCACGACTTGGAGTTAGCCGCAGTCATTCACGCCTTGAAGATCTGGCGACATTTTACGGCGGACGCTGCGAGATATTCACAGACCATAAGAGCCTGCAGTACATTTTCACGCAGAAGGAGCTTAATATGAGGCAGCGCCGTTGGCTCGAATTGGTCAAGTATTATGATTGTTCTATCCAGTACCATCCGGGAAAGGCGAACGTCGTCGCAGATGCCCTAAGCCGAAAGGTGACGGGAGACTTGACGTACTCATTACACAGCAGAGTCCATTGATTCACGAGTTTGCCCGGATGCAGCTTCAGGCGATTGATGCACTCCCCACAGCGGTCTCAGGGGACACTAGTGCCAGTGTCAGTGCTATGCAACTTCAGCCGACACTGAGAGAGAGGATCCGGCGAGAGCAGGCTTCTGACGAGTTTGTTCGTGTCGTGGAGGCCAAAGTTCGCGCCGGAGGAGTACAGGATTTTCAGCTAGGCGCCGATGGTGCCTTGGAGTTCAGAGGCAGAA